TTCTCCCTCTCCCACTCCCCCTGCTTGTGTTCCCTCTCTCGCTGTGTCTCTCTCTGTCAAATAAATAAAATCTTAAAAAAAAAAAAAAAAAAAGATCTATCAGTGAGTCATTAACGATTGGGAACCACTGATCTAAACAGATGACAAGCAAAATGTACTCTCTAAATTATTTCCAGGTAGTATTTGTAGTTCACATTGGGCTTGTTTAGACTGTCAGCATTTTTGTGTCTATGCCCAAACCCCTGCATTTTGCTCAGAGAATTTGCTAAAACTATTCAGGGTCCTAGAACACTGACAGTACACTTTTAGCTTTTCTCTCTTGCCTTGAAAATTACAATTATGTGTTGCCTTGCAGTGAGAGCCTCTCATGGCAGTGAAAAAGAGTTGATGAAGGTTTGCCTTGTTTTTGCTAAAACTTCTGCTCATTATCCCCTCCCTTTCTTGTATGATCACCTGAAACTTGAGACCATAATGGTTGTTTAGTGACACATAAGGGAGTGGGGGGATGGGTTAGCCTGGTGATGGGTATTAAAGAGGGCACATACTGAATCGAGCACTGGGTGTTATACGCAAACAATGAATCATGGAACACTACATCAAAAACTAATGATGTAATGTATGGTGATTAACATAATAAAAAAAAAGTGACACATAAAGGGCCACATTTTGTGCAATTGAAGCAACCTCCCCTTCCAGCCCTTAAGGAATGGTGCTGATAATGATCTACTTGGGAGGCTCCTGAAGACTGAGTTAAAGGAATGACATTCCTTTTAAGTCTGATCACTGCTTCCTTTTAATTCTGATTGCCATAGTTGCTAACTCTCAGAATTTGCCTACTATTCATTTATGAAACCGAAATATTTGGCCTGACAGGAAGAGCTTACACAACTGCTGTAAACATGAAACCATCATCTTACAATGATAGGAAAAAACTATTCTCGGGGATCTTTGGATCTTAGGTGTATGTATCTACACACAGATACACTCTGTATGTATTTGTGTGGATATATGTTACATACACATATATGCCATACCTACTGTTTGCTGTTTTAGTTTCATTTCCTTGACCCTTCCGGCAGACAGAAATCACAGTCGGTAAGCACAAAGAACCAGTTCTATCATCTGTTTATTTTACTCTTTCCCTTCACCCAGATCTTAGGATATAAGGCATTCCTTCTGTAGAATGTGATGCAATGATCCTCATTCCTAAGACTTCACGTTTCTGCCCCAAAACTGTTGACGTGACCAAAGTACATTCTCAGTCCATTCTCTTTTTCTTGACTAAGTTGAAAACATAAAAGTTTAGTAAATTTTATTCTTTTTAAACTTTGAAGAATTGTTACGTATGACTTTCCTCCTCTTTCTTCTTCAGTAATCCCTTATGGACTTGAAAACACTAAGGAACAGGCAGCACAGCTCTACAGTACTTTCCTAATATGTGACACAAATTCTCATTGGCCTGATAAAGGAATTTAATTGAATCTACCCCATGATGCACCTCATGCTGTTCCCAGCCCCTTATGTTAAAAGAATCCCATTGTAGCTTCTTCCCTTTACACCAAAAATGAGCACAGGGATGCTTGGCTGGCTCAGTCATGTGACTCTGATCTCAGGGTTGTGAGTTCAAGCCCCATGTTGGGCGTGGAGCCTACTTAAAAAAAAAAGAAATGAGCGCAGATTCTCTCACAAGTAAATCAAAAGGAACTGAAAAGGAGAAACAGTGTGTTCATTTTCTTTTAGGTCTGCTACCTGATTAATATTAAATCGGTTTTATTTCTTTTTGGTGCTTATTTTCCCAGGTAACATTTTTTCCTTCTTTTTCTTCTGCTACATTACTAATACCTGTGGGGGTTTTTTGCTCTTATTTTTTAGCAAATCACAGATGAAGGTCTCATTACTATATGCAGAGGGTGCCATAAGTTACAGTCCCTCTGTGCCTCCGGCTGCGCCAACATCACTGATGCCATCCTGAATGCTCTAGGTCAGAACTGCCCTCGGCTTAGGTAAACATTTCTTGTTTAGCTCAAAAAACCAGAGAAAAGGGACAAATGCCTTCTTCATCCAAATTTATTCCTTGGAACTTTGAGATTTTTAAGGGAGACGCTACAAGGCTACTACCCTTTTAGATGCTAACCTGTTTGCTCTGTACCTCATTTGATTACATGTAATTGACTTAAACCAAGGGGTGATAGTTTCCTACTTCTTGCTCTGCATACTAGAGAAAAAAAAATTTAAACATTTTATTTCATTACTTGAGAAATGAAATAAAGGCATTTTCTCTTATTAATACTTCCATATAATTCCTTTTTGAAGAAAGTTTTTAAAGTCCTACCCTGTGGTTATTTACCTTGTGGTAACGATGCCAGGTACTTAGCAATCAGTATTTAAAAAGAAAAACCAGCCCTGCAGGAAAACTCCTTTGTGCTCCTGGTCTTTTAGAGCAAGCTTGATTTCTCTATGGTTCCTCCTCTTTGCCTAAATATAGGATTGGCTGAATATTTACTAAGAATGCCGTGTTAGCATACACATGTTTTCGAAACCCACGTTGGTTCTGTAAAAGCACACGGCATGCTATTTTGTAATAAATAGGGATGATCCCCATACATCTTTTTTGTTTTTAAAATAGAACTTTTATTGTACTTATGTTAGATATGTTAACCATTGTTTTAAGTGATTTGCAAATATTAATTCATTCAGTCCTCATAATAGCATATAAACACTGTTATTATCTCCATATTACAGATGAGAAAACTGAAGCACAGAGAGGTCAGGTAACCTGTTCAAGGTCTCACAGCTAGTGAGTTCAGGAGCAAGGATTCAAACTCAGACAGTCTGGCTCTAGAGCCCAGGAAACCACATATAATAATCACTATAAACCCATATAACTTTATTAAAGCTTTTTGTTATCACCTGGCCAGGGGCCTAACCATAGTTATTAAAAGTTGACTGGATTATCAGAATTCCTTCATAGATCATAAACTTGGTCAAAATTAATAATATCAGAGGCCTGGGACTAAGGAGGTAGCCAGACTCCTCCCTAAAAATACTATGCGTTACCTTTTTCTCTTTTAAAGCGAGTGTTCGGCTCCTTACTCCTTCATGGTTTATCTTATTGTTCGAACAGAAAGGCTCTCAAATATGATAATCAAAAGTTAGGTTCAGTCAGATCATGCTTTTCCATTAGAAATTTTTCTAATTGATTGGTAGTTGATAATGATTTATTTTACTGTAGCTTTATTTGTTTCAACTCATGTAGTAAGTAATTTGTAAGCAAACATAAAGATGTTATTTGGTACTGTTGTGCAGATGCCGCCAAACTTTTCACAGAAAAGAGCTACTTTTGAGTCCCCTGTCCTGTGGTTTTAGTATTTCGGTTAGTGTTTAGCAGTTCCTGAGTAGGAGAGTGGCTGCCAGCTCAGCCCCGCTCTGCACTGGGCCTCCCTGGAAGCCTGTGGGAGGAGGCAGGAAGCTTAAGGGCATTTTTTCATAAGTATGGAATTTCATACTTGGGACAGGCCTGTAATTAATCAGTCCCTTCATAGCATTTTTAAAAGCTATTTAAATCTGAGTGAACCTTCATGTAAAATAGGGAAAGAGAATAATTTTCTTGAGCAACAGATTAATTGAAACAGAGTATTTAGCGCCATTTCCTTTGTTTTCTAGGAGCAGGCTGCCCTCTGGGGGTAAGCAGTATGCCATCAAGGCTTTTTAAATGCATTTTTCATGCATTTTGGCATTAACTACAAGCTTCTATTACATTCTTCTGATTGCATCACCCTGAAATGTGGTGGTATTTACAGGACCGCTTTATGATGACTCCATGAAAATGAATGGCAAGATCTGTATACAGACTTGCTTAGCTGTTTATGTCACTATATGATGCAGTGCTTAGGGAATGGGAGGTTATTTTCTTAAATTCTTGCTGTTCTAATAAACCCAGTTTTCAGGGAACAAGGGGCTTGACTTTCACTTTGCTTTTTTTTGAACAGAATATTAGAAGTGGCAAGATGTTCTCAATTAACAGATGTAGGCTTTACCACTCTGGCCAGGGTAAGTATTTTCTCCAGGTTCTGTAGGTTTGGTTTGGATTTTTTTTTTTTTTTTTCCAGAAGAGTGAGCACTGAGGGAAAAGTGGAATGGCGGCAGAATGGAGGGTGTGGGGTGTGAGGGCACTTCTTGTGGCTGGTGGGCCTGAACATTCTCGTGCTGCAGCTGCAGGCCCATAGAACATAGACTGCTCTGGAAACACAGACGTACATTGGAGAACATGATGCTCCTTCTTTAGACTTGATTTGCCACGTTTTCACTGATGGTAAACTAGGGAGGGCCTTCCTAGTGCTTTGTGAAAAAACTTTCTTGATTGTTCGGTATGTGACTGGTGGGTGAGAGTAACATTGAAGGAAACATATGGGCCTGATTTTAAATGGAGACGGTTTAAGAGATTTTTTTGTGTTCTCCAGAATAAATACTTGGAATGGTTTATAAATCACTGTATAATAGTAGTATTTAAAATTATACTGTCTTTAACTAGTATGTAATGGAATATGGGGAGGAACATTTGCTTTCAGGCAGATTGATGGAAGACTAATGGGTTGGGGGGGCAGTGCATGGCATAACTCAGTGAGGACACAAAGCTTACCTTCCATTCCTCCAAAGAAATCATTTTCATGGGGCGCCTGGGTGGCTCAGATGGTTAAGCGTCTGCCTTCGGCTCAGGTCATGATCCCAGGGTCCTGGGATCGAGTCCCACATCGGGCTCCCGATGCTTCTCCCTCTGCCTCTCTCTCTCTCTCTCTCTCATGAATAAATAAATAAAATCTTAAAAAAGAAATCATTTTCATTAAATTATTTATGGTTGGAATGATCTGTATTATCTTGGTATTAGTGTTCAGAACATTTATTCCCTTGGACTTACAAGATGTTAGATACTTCAAATGTAGAATAATTGAGAAATTTCCACTGTGATCAAGGTCTTTTAAAATGTGTGATTAATGAAGGCAGAAAGTGACGTTAGAATGACAGAAGATTTTGTCAGTGTATTTAATACTACTTCTTAGTTTTCTGGCTTTAAATTTTCCCATGTTTTAAATGTTCGTGTTATAATGTTTGGTTTTGTATTCTGTAGAATTGCCATGAGCTTGAAAAAATGGACTTAGAAGAGTGTGTTCAGGTAAGAGTGTGGATCTTTACTCAGAAATACAGAATCATAGGGGCGCCTGGGGTGGCTCAGTTGGTTGGGCTTGGTTTCAGCTTGCAGTCAAATGCTCTACCACTGAGCTATACCCCCCGGTTTCAGCTTGCAGAGTCGTGGGATCAAGCTCAGCGGGGAGTCTGCTTGAGATTCTCTCCCTCACCCACCCCCCTTTGCCCCTCCCCCGTAAAATAAATAAATCTTAAAAAAAAAAGAAATACAGTATGATAGAAACTTACAAAAAAGAAAAAGAAACTTACATAATACATGCACATCAAAACATTCAGTTCCCTACTCGAATGTCATGTAGTGCCTGGCAGCACTGCTGATTCTTCCTTTATTGAGGTGTCCTCCAGGCATCCCAGGCAGAAGTGCACGGTATACGTGGTAAGGAAGTAGGAAAATACATTTCCACTTTCTTACCAGTGGAAAGAAAGAAGGCCCAAGCATTCAGGCCATAAAGATGTTAAAATGTTTCCTTAAACCTACAGGGTTATAATACTAGTAAATAATTAAAGCCCCATCACATGGACAATATAGCACTGCCCCTTTTTTTTTTTTTTAAGTTTAATGAGACCGTGGACTCCTTACATCATTAGCCCTGGAGATCCAACTCTGCCTTTTGGACAGACAGACAGACTGACCAAATACTGCCTTAACAGCAATTCTTTTATTACCAGTTATAAGAGCTCTAAGATTACTAGTTGATCAGAGAGAAATTTTGAAGAGGGACTCCTAAAAAGAAGATAGATTAATAAAAATTTTTTAATGGTAAAAATAAAGATAACTTCTAGTAACTGTAGGGGTCAATTTTTTCTGAATTACTTGTTATCCAGACACTCTTTAGCAACTATTCTTACTAAACTAAAACTTGGGGCACCTGGTTGGTTCAGATGGTTGAGCGTCTGCCTTCGGCTCAGGTCTTGATCTCGGGATCCTGGGATCAAGTCCCGCATCGGACTCCCTGCTCCTTGGGGAGCCTGCTTCTCCCTCTGCCTCTGCACCTCTCTCTCTGTCTCTCATGAATAAATAAATAAAACCTTTAAAAAATAATAGTAAACTAAAACTGTTCACATCCATCTACCTCTTGCATATGCCTGAGTGTCCTGTGTGTCCTCTCCAATGTTACTCCCTCTCAATGATGTGCACACACCTTCCCTCCCCAACCTTCCATCCCCCACCATTTCTTAGCCCCTGTGAAGCTATGTATGTTATAGGCATCATCATCATTTCAGAGTTGGAGGAGCATTTGAAAAGAAGCACTGATTTACTTTCCAGCCTAAGATAACTATAAAAGACTGTTCTTCCTTCAAGAGTTCCTCCTTCTTTAATGTTCATAGTTAACCCAGATTCCAGCAGTGCCTTTTCTGTCACCTTCGGGAAAATACCTGACACCCAAGATACCAAATCAGAGTTGTGGCATGGCTTATAAAATATAGGCCAAATGTACTTAAAATTTGAGGGTATTTTCACATTAATTTTTTTTTCACATTTGAGCAGCGTTTTTCACATGGAGCAGCATCTTCTGATTCTTTTCTGTGGTGGTTCTAGGGAGCTAAAGTCCAGTGGGTAGAAGTTACAAAGGGACAGATTTTCATTCATTTCAAAAACAAAAGAGAACTTTCAACAGACCTGTTCAAAGATGAAGACTACAGATGACTAGACGTGTTCAAAGAACAGGTTCAAGTAGCCAATGGGATTTCAGTCTTAAGATTCTGTTATTTTATGATTAATATCAGGAAATCAGTTTAGAATACAAGTGTACTCAAGAATGAGGTACAGCTGGGGCGCCTGGGTGGCTCAG